CAGGTATTTCCACATGCAGCTGGCCTCCGAGGGGGAGCAGCAGCAGGAGGAGGAGGAGGCGGCCCGGCGGCTGGTGGAAAGGGGCTTCCTCCCGTGGCAGCAGGAAGACTTCAACGACCTGTGCAACCTGCCCGGCTTGACGGAGACCACGCTGCTGGAGAACCTCAAGAGGCGCTTCCTGAAGCAGAAGATCTACACCTACGTGGGCAGCATCCTTATCGCCATCAACCCCTTCCAGTTCTTGCCCATCTACAACCCCAAGTATGTCCAGCTCTACCAGAACCACCAGCTGGGGAAGCTGGAGCCCCACATCTTCGCCATCGCCGACGTGGCCTACTACACCATGCTCAAGAAGCGCATCAACCAGTGCATTGTCATTTCGGGGGAAAGCGGCTCTGGGAAGACGCAGAGCACCAACTTCTTGATCCACTGCCTTACGGCCCTGAGCCAGAAGGGCTATGCCAGTGGGGTGGAGAGGACCATTTTGGGAGCTGGGCCTGTGCTGGAGGTAAGGTCTTAAGTTTGAAATCTCTCAGGCAAAGGTTGGAGACGCTCTTTGGTGAGGGGGTTCAGCGGCCCCCACGTTTAAGGGAATGCAGGCACTCGGCTGCTGCCCTTCCTTCCGTCTCTGGCCTAGCCTTGTTTGGTGTGCGAGGTTCTCAAAGGTCTTTCCAAAACAGCCTCTTGGCTTCAAATTTTGTAAACTGCAGCTGTAAGTGCAGGTGAGTTGGGGGGTGGGGCTCTCCGCCAGCATCCCCAGCTGGAACTGACCCGTTGAGAGCCAGTTTGGTGTAGTTCTACTTTGTGAGCTACTGGCATTAAAGTTGTAAGTGAGCAGTTTGGTGGCTGTGAGCCAGTTTGGTGTAGTGGTTAAGTGCGCGGACTCTAATCTGGGAGAACCGGGTTTGATTCCCCACCCCTCCACCTGCAGCTGCTGGGTGACCTTGGGCAAGCTATAGTTCTGTCAGAGCAGTTCTCTCAGAGCTCTCTCAGCTCCACCTACCTCACAGGGTGTCTGTTGTGGGGAGGGGGAAGGGAAAGGAGTTTGTAAGCCGCTTTGAGGCTCCATGTGAAGGGCCGGGTATAAATCCAATCTCCTCCTCCGCCCCCTCCTCTTCTTGTTCCATTGATGTGGGAAGGACCTGCCTTGCAGTGCCCAGCAGAGCCCTCCGCCCTGTTCCGTCCCTTCTTCCTCCGAGCATATTCTTTTCTCTCTTTCAACTCTTAATTTGTACGCCAACCAACGAGTTGGCTTGTTTGCGAACTCAAAATGATATTGTCTTGTCCATTTCATCTTTTTGGCAATTTCCTGCGTTAATATGCAGTTCAATTTGTGTTGTAATAATTTGATGTTATTTTTACTTGTTTGGATATTTTCGCTTTGTTTTTGCATTTTATTTTCCTCTTTCTGTATTCTCTCCTTAATCTGATCGATTTCTTTGTTTTCTTGTTTTTTGATCCATGCACTTTGGAACAGGGTTGGTGTGTGTGCCTTTGTGCTCCTTCAAGCCCTGCCAGTGTGTATGCAGGGGTGACATGTTTCGGGGGGGGGGGGGGAAAGGCAGCCGCTCCAGCCCCTCCCCCTCAGTCAGGAGCTAGCCCTCCTTTCAGGGTGGCCTGAAGGCAAGCCGTTCTCTCTCCACTTCTGAACATCGTTCAACAGCCTGCAGGGCCTAGGCAAGAGTCAACTAAAAGGAGGTTTTTCCCTCCTCTAAAGATGTGGGCTGAATTCGTTTAGGGTGGGAAGTGCCACGAAGCTGTAGCCGGCTTATGGCGACCCGGCAAGAGACATTCAGGGGAGGCGTGCCGTTGCCTCCCGCCACGTAGTGACCCCCTGGAGTTCCTCGGTGGTCTCCCCTTCAGGTGCTAACCTGGGTTGCCTGGCTTTGGAGGGCCAACCAGGTCAGGGCGAATTCCTCCACCGCCTGGGTTTGAAGATAGCAGCCCTCCTCGCAGAGTTGTCGTGAGGGCCGGGAAAGGACTGCTGCTCCCTGCAGATGTCATGGCAGCTACTGTCCCCTTTTGCCACCCCCGCATTATAGATGTGGGGCTGTGGTTGAGGGAAAGTCACTTGCCAAAGACCTCCTGATGAGGTTACAGCAAAAGTGAGGTTGGGATTGGGGACCGGCTGAGGTCCCAATGCTCCCTCTAAGCTGTGGAGTCTTTTGAGCAAATGTTCTACTTTGTGAGCTACCAGCATTAAAGTTGTGAGCGAACAGTTTGGCTACTGCATAAATTAGTTTGCTCTGGAGCCATCCTTCCTGAGCCAAGACAAAAATGGGTGAGCCGGAGGCTCAAAAAACTGTGAGCTAGCTCACGCTAACTCAGCTTAGAGGGAACACTGGACCTCCCTCTTCCTGGCGCTGCCATCTTCAGGACTTGTGCTCCTTAGGCGCCCACCTGCAGTTTGCAGAGGAAGAATGTCAGGGGCAGCTGCTTTGGGTGGGTGGGTGGGTGGGGGCAGGGCTTTTTTTGTAGAAAAAGTCCAGCAGGAACTCATTAGCATAATAGGCCACACCCAGTAGCAGAAACTCATTAGCATATTAGGCCACACTCCTGACTGCACAGCTCATTAGCATATTAGGCCATACCCCCATGTCGCCAGAAGTGTGGTCATCCAGCCACACCCACCTTTTGCTTCTTATTCTGTTTACCTTGTTGTCAAAACCCAGGGCTTTTTTTGTTGCAGGAACTCATTTGCATGTTAGGCCACACACCCCTAATGTAGCCAATCCAAATGTGTTTCTACTGCTGGGTGTGGCCTGTTGTGCTAATGAGTTCCTGCTGGGTGTGGCCAACTTGGGAGCCAGCCGGAACTCCGTTCCTGTGCGTTCCTGCCCCAAAATAGCCCTGGGTGGGGGGATCTTTTTCTGTTTCCCTGAAATTTCTAAAGCTCTGAGCTGCCCTTGGCTTGGCAGGATGCTTTGGAGTATCTGCGTATCTTTTTCCATTCTCTGTTGGAAAGCAGAAGTGTCTTTGCTCTACAGACTTAGGAACTGCTTTGAGTTTGCATTTGTGGCTGCTGACCTCAAACCGGAAGTGGTGGCTGTAAAGGCAGCCTGCCTCGGGGATCAGCTGGTTGTGCTGCTGTCTTTGCTGTTATCTTCTTCCCATGGCAGGGGAGGGGGGGAAACCAGCCCCTAAGGAAAGGCGTGCAGAAATGGATACACGAGTGAGCGAAACACATCCCATGTCAACTGCCAGAGCAGAGACTCTGTGGCTAAAATTAAATGTTGTCTCCTGTGTTGTGTTCCCAGGGATTGGTGCCTCGATGCAAGCTATTCAGCCTGTTTAGAAAGTTTTGGCCCCTTCCAGCTTGCTTAATTGGGGAATTCTGCTGAACTGGTTACTATTGGGGAGGGCTCTGTGACTACTCTAGACCTCCTTTTCAAGCTTAGACAGCGTGGGGGGGGGGCAGCACTTCTGAGCCGTCCCACAGGCAGAAGGACATCTGAAAAGACCATGTGCTGAGATGCGTGTGGGAGGTGGAGGCAATTCTAGTCATCCCCAGCTCAGAGGCAAAGTTGCCGAGACTGTGAAGTGAACACAAGTGACTTATAAAAAGAGCCAGCCAATGTGATGGGGCACTGCTGCTGTCCCAAAAGGAAAGCAGGCAGGAAAAGGGGCCCCGGGGGAGCTTCACTGAACCCCAGAAAAGGATGCAGAAATCAAAGCCAGTAAAGGAGAGGGTTTTTTTGCAGGATTTCAACCCTGCAATGAAGCAAGACCAGCAAGTGAAACAGTGCATCATTTTACAGTTGCTTCCTTTGAAATGCGCAACTGCCGACGTCAAGAACTAATGAGAGTCAACGATTAAGTAAAAATCAGCAGTCCCCCCCGCCCCCCCAGTCCAAACCAGAAAAATGGTCAGCCTGAGTTGAACAGAAAAGTCTCACTAGGCACCTAAAACAAGAGAGGCAGAACTCCAGGTGAGCACGAGGGAAGAGGGAGATGAGGTGTGTTTACAGTGAAGACCGCCCCCACCTCTTTATTGTATGGGGGGGGCCACCCAGAGGGAGGTCTCTGGAGACCTGCGCAGCTGGGCACGCTCCTGTTAGAGCCAGTAGTCTGGCCCCAGCCTTCTCAGGACTTGAAGTGGGTTGAACCCTCTGAATTTGTGCTGTGAGTGGTGGATCTGTCTTCCGTTGCCTTTTGCAGTGGAAATGAGGTGTTCTGCTGCCATGAGAGGAAGGGAGTTGTGGGACGCCACCTGCTAGAACTGAATGGGTTGTCCGCGGTGTATTCCACATTTTGCCGGTGTGCATCCCCTGTGCACACTTGACCAGAGAGAGAGAGAGAGATGCAAGGCACGTCTAATGAGCAAATTCCACAAATGAAAGTAGGCCAGATATACTGGGGAAGGATCCGCCTGAGTGGCTGCTTTGACATTGTCCAGTGATACCTAAAGGCTAACAGCCTTTATTCCAGGATGAGCTTTCTTGGGTCATGGCCCAGTGAGCTCTCAAAAACTAACACACCAGTAACTGCTGTTAGCCTTTAGTGCACCACTCCCTTTTTTTGGGGGGGGGGGTATTTTGCTACAACTGCTCAGTCCAGTTTATTTCAATACAAGATGAGCTCAACAATATTAATCATTGCTAGTTGCACAAACCAGCAGGAGGCCAGGCCAGCTGTTTTCCTGCTCCACATGACCTGGCCCCTGTTACAGTAGGAAGGGGGGAATGGTATCTTCATTGCTGGCAAACTCCCAGTTTGGCGTAGTGGTTAGGAGCGCGGACTGTAATCTGGGAGAATTGGGTTTGATTCCCCACTCTTCCACATGCAGCTGCTGGTATGACCTTGGGTCAGTCATGGGTCTCTCAGAGTTGTTCTCTCGAGCAGTCTTCAAAAAAGCTCTCTCAGCCCCACCTACCTCACAGGGTGTCTGTTGTGGGGAGGGGAAGCGAAAGTAGATTGTAAGCCACTCTGAGATTCATTCGGGTAGTGAAGGGCGGGGTATAAATCCAATCTCTTCCCTGGAAGGCACCTTGGTAACCAACCATCACCACTCAGGGACCTCCTGAGAACATCCAGAATGACCTGCTGAGAAGAAGAGATTGGATTTATACCCCGCCCTTCACTTGGAGCCTCAGAGCGGCTTACAAACTCCTTTCCCTTCCCCTCACCACAACAGACACCCTGTGAGGTGGGTGGGGCTGAGAGAACTCTGACCCAAACTGCTCTTTTTCGAGGACAGCTGTACCAAAGCTTGTGACTGACCCAAGGTCACATCAGCAGGTGCAAGTGGAGGAGTGGGGAATCAACCCCGGTTCTCCCAGATTAGAGTCCGCGCACTTAACCACTACACCAAACTGGCTCTGAAGATACTGAAGGTATCTTTCAGCACAGTATTAAAGCAATAGCAAAGGGACAGGGCAGAGATCCTGGGAAATACCTTATAACCAGCCCCACCTCCATCAAGCCTCTTGTAATGGCTCTGAACCTCCATTACAAATAGGTGATCTGGCCCAAACTGGACCATCCTTTGTCCGAATGGAGTAAGGCTGG